AATCAAAAATTTAATTAAATACTTTTAATAGACTGCAGCAATTAACACCATGTCAGAAGCTATAGTAGATTATGTTATTTTGTTTAGTCGTCTGTTCAGAATCGCGTGAGAATCGAAATCATGAATTCATCAAGAATCATACAACTCTATAGATTAAAAATTGTAATCGGTTGGACAGCCCTATAAAGATTCACTTTGCATATCTTTGGATTTTAGCGTGACGAACATGGCAGCAGACTTCTGGGATCATTAGTAATCAACAGGAAGCCACGTCTAGTGTTCAAATCATCTCTCTCCGGCTGAAATGAAAGATTTCTGTGACCTGGAGTGGCCCTCCGCTGCTCGTTACAAGGCCGAATAATATTGAGAAAGGCAGCTTCAGGCTCCCGCTGACTTTATATCATTTTTACAACAGGAAAATTAATTAAAACATCCAGAGACGGAGAAAGACTGCTAGTAACACCATGAGATAGCGAGAGACTGTCTGTCCAAAATCACCTGCGGGGAGCAAGAGGAGTTATGTGACCAAGCAAATTCAAAATTACAGGGACATCTAATTGATTTAATCAGCATGTATATTAATGTGTTTTGGATTTGTACTTGAGTAAGTCATTTGGAATTAATATAATCAAGTTATTGACAAAAAGTCTTGCTAGATTTATCTTCAGTAAATCTTTATTTGTCCTGGTCAATTTATTTGCATTACACCAAAGACTAAGATTAAGTTTAATTAAATTATGTGAACATAAATTGTTGGACCTGAGCAGTTCGTGGTTATAATAATAATAATGATATACAGACGATGTATTGTCACTAGATGGCAGTATTTCTTAGGACATGCCAGTGTGCCTTGTTTATGTTGAATTTATTCATTCATCTGTTTATTGTTAATCAATATATAATGCATAATGCAGTGTCTTCAGTCTGGATGGTAAGCAGCTGAAGACTGACGAGTCTGTCCACGGTAGCCGAATGGATTTCATTGTGCAAATGGATTTTATAATGCCTATAAAATCAGGGCTATTCTGCAAGCAAATGAGCTGTAACGTTGATCAACTTGATCACAAAATAAGATAAGATAGACTTTCATTATCATAGTTTCACCATAAAGCTAAAGTTTACCATCTTACGTCCTTAATTTAAATAGCATCACTGTATAATGCTTAATTACATTCTAAAATAGACGTTATTATACACTCAAATAAGCATGTTTTGAAGATTCATATTCATATGATTCATGTTCGGTTCATATTCATAGATTCATATTTCAGTGCACTTGAACCACTATTTTGAGGTCAATTATTAAGTAATTAAAATGTTGATGTCTGGTTAACAAAGTAAATGCATCTATAAATGGGCTACTACTGACCACAACAAGAAATACTTTTTTTTCCTGTTTTTGTTATTTTGAGATATTTCCTGATTTATGATGCTCGACCCCTTGATGACTCAAATCGAACCTTTGTATGGATTATTTGGCCGAATTATATCTGTTAATGACTGTAAAATCAAATGCCCCTTCAGCATTATAATGATAATTAAAAAAAAAATCTTGTTTTTCCTTCAGCACATCACTCAGTACTATCAGTCCAGTCAATTTTTTTTTTTTTTTTTGGAATGAAATTGAATACTTGAAGAATCCAATCAAATATTTTCCAGTCAGGCAATGTGTTGAATAGAATATTTTCCAGTCAAGCGCAATGGAAACGAATATTTTTCAGTCAGGCGCTGTCGAAAATAATATTTTTTAGTCAGGCGCAGTGGAAACGAATATTTTTCAGTCAGGCGCAGTGGAAACTAATATTTTTTAGTCAGGCGCTGTCAAAATAAATAGTTTCCAGTCAGGCGCAGTGGAAACAAATATTTTTCAGTCAGGCGCAGTGGAAACGAATATTTTTTTAGTCAGGTGCTGTCGAAGCGAATATTTTTCAGTCAGGCGCTGTCGAAACGAATATTTTTTAGTCAGGCGCTGTGGAAACGAATATTTTTCAGTCAGGCGCAGTGGAAACGAATATTTTTTAGTAAGGCGCAGTGGAAGCGAATCTTTTCCAGTCAGGCGCAGTGGAAACGAATATTTTTCAGTCAGGCGCTGTCGAAACGAATATTTTTCAGTCAGGCGCAGTGGAAACGAATATTTTTCAGTCAGGCGCTGTCGAAACGAATATTTTTTAGTCAGGCGCAGTGGAAACAAATCTTTTCCAGTCAGGCGCAGTGGAAAGAATATTTTTTAGTCAGGCGCAGTGGAAACGAATATTTTTCAGTCAGGTGCAGTAGAAACTAATATTTTTCAGTCAGGCACAGTGGAAACGAATATTTTTCAGTCAGGTGCAGTAGAAACTAATATTTTTCAGTCAGGCGCTGTCGAAACGAATATTTTTAGTCAGGCGCAGTGGAAACGAATATTTTTCAGTCAGGCGCAGTGGAAACGAATATTTTTCAGTCAGGCGCTGTCGAAACGAATATTTTTTAGTCAGGCGCAGTGGAAACGAATATTTTTCAGTCAGGCGCTGTCGAAACGAATATTTTTCAGTCAGGCGCTGTCGAAACGAATATTTTTTAGTCAGGCGCAGTGGAAACTAATATTTTTTAGTCAGGCGCTGTCAAAATAAATAGTTTCCAGTCAGGCGCAGTGGAAACAAATATTTTTCAGTCAGGCGCAGTGGAAACGAATATTTTTTTAGTCAGGTGCTGTCGAAGCGAATATTTTTCAGTCAGGCGCTGTCGAAACGAATATTTTTTAGTCAGGCGCTGTGGAAACGAATATTTTTCAGTCAGGCGCAGTGGAAACGAATATTTTTTAGTAAGGCGCAGTGGAAGCGAATCTTTTCCAGTCAGGCGCAGTGGAAACGAATATTTTTCAGTCAGGCGCTGTCGAAACGAATATTTTTCAGTCAGGCGCAGTGGAAACGAATATTTTTCAGTCAGGCGCTGTCGAAACGAATATTTTTTAGTCAGGCGCAGTGGAAACAAATCTTTTCCAGTCAGGCGCAGTGGAAAGAATATTTTTTAGTCAGGCGCAGTGGAAACGAATATTTTTCAGTCAGGTGCAGTAGAAACTAATATTTTTCAGTCAGGCACAGTGGAAACGAATATTTTTCAGTCAGGTGCAGTAGAAACTAATATTTTTCAGTCAGGCGCTGTCGAAACGAATATTTTTAGTCAGGCGCAGTGGAAACGAATATTTTTCAGTCAGGCGCAGTGGAAACGAATATTTTTCAGTCAGGCGCTGTCGAAACGAATATTTTTTAGTCAGGCGCAGTGGAAACGAATATTTTTCAGTCAGGCGCTGTCGAAACGAATATTTTTCAGTCAGGCGCTGTCGAAACGAATATTTTTTAGTCAGGCGCAGTGGAAACGAATATTTTTCATTCAGGCGCTGTCGAAACGAATATTTTTTAGTCAGGCGCAGTGGAAATGAATATTTTTTAGTCAGGCGCAGTGGAAACGAATATTTTTCAGTCAGGTGCAGTAGAAACTAATATTTTTCAGTCAGGCGCTGTCGAAACGAATATTTTTAGTCAGGCGCAGTGGAAACGAATATTTTTCAGTCAGGCGCAGTGGAAACGAATATTTTTCAGTCAGGCGCTGTCGAAACGAATATTTTTTAGTCAGGCGCAGTGGAAACGAATATTTTTCAGTCAGGCGCTGTCGAAACGAATATTTTTCAGTCAGGCGCTGTCGAAACGAATATTTTTTAGTCAGGCGCAGTGGAAACGAATATTTTTCAGTCAGGCGCAGTGGAAACGAATATTTTTCAGTCAGGCGCAGTGGAAACGAATATTTTTTAGTCAGGCGCAGTGGAAACGAATATTTTTCAGTCAGGTGCAGTGGAAACTAATATTTTTTAGTCAGGCACTGTCAAAACAAATAGTTTCCAGTCAGGCGCAGTGTAAATGAATATTTTTCAGTCAGGTGCTGTCGAAACAAACATTTTCCAGTCAGGGGCAGTGGAAACGAATATTTTTCAGTCAGGTGCAGTGGAAACTAATATTTTTTAGTCAGGCGCTGTCAAAACAAATAGTTTCCAGTCAGGCGCAGTGTAAATGAATATTTTTGAGTCAGGCACTGTCGAAACAAATATTTTTTAGTCAGCCGCTAAGGAACCAAATATTTTTCAGTCAGCTGCTGTGGAACTGAATATTTTTAGTCAGGTGCTGTTAAATGGAATATTTTTGAGTCAGACGCTGTTGAATCAAATATTTTTAAGTCAGGCCCTGTTGAATCGAATATTTTTCAGTCAGACGCTGTTGAATCGAATATTTTTCAGTCAGACGCTGTTGAATCGAATATTTTTAAGTCGGGTGCTGTTGCATTGAATATTTTCCACACTGTAAACATTTTAAGTTGATTGAAATGGAAAAAGTGAGTTAAAACAATGAAGGAGATTGATTTAATCATCAGAAACTCAAAATAATAAGTTATTTGAACTAAATAAATTGTTTAAGTTGATTTGACAAAAGAAAAAATGTTGTGATAACAAATCTTGAAAATATTACTGAGAAATCAAATAATTTTCAGTCAGACGCTGTCGAACTGAATTTTTTTTAGTCATGTGCTGTCAAATCGAATATTTTTTAGTCAGGCAGTGTTGAAACGAATATTTTTTTCAGTCAGATATTGAGGAATCAAATGTTTTTCAGTCAGGCACTGACAAATTAGTTCATAATATTCTAAACTGAGCACTTGGATAGTCATATCCAAGTATGACTATATAGGCTACTTATATTTTTATATTTTGTAGACTTATATTTTTGTTGGCTACTATTTTGAGATAATGTTAGTCTAATTTCTTATTGCCGACAAAGAACAGGTTGAGAAGACCAATGCAGTGAATTTTGCCCTCGGCATATGGTTGTGCATTGTTGTTCCTTTTAACCCTCATTTGTCTTTTTGTAATTGGATAGTATGGTCGGTCCTATCTCCTTTAGCCCTCCCTCTCTCCCCTTCTCTCTCTCTCTCTCTCTCTCTCTCTCTCTCTCTCTCTCTCTCTCTCTCTCTCTCTCTCTCTCTGCTCTGACATCGGGGTTTTCTCTCATACAGTAAGCGCCTGGCACTGACAATGTGGACATCAGCGGGGAATATATAGTGTTATCATCCGAATTCGCGTCGTGTTCACAGCGCATTCAACTTCATTATTACCAGGTAAGACGGAATCATTATGTCAGACGTCTTTATCCATGTGGTGTCTGTATAGCTCTCGGTAAATGCATCCCGATGTAAATCTGATCGGGACAGAAGTGAGAGATGGTTCGGACTCGCGCAGTTATCCCGTAGGAAACCGCTGCTGTTGTTATGGCAATAAAAGCGGAGCGCGTTTGTTTCAGCAGCACTAGTAATACAAGTTCATCACCTAACCGGTTGGAACGGTGAAGTTTACAGCTTTATGAACGTTAGAATCCTTTTAACTCGCAGCTTTCTGAACATAACATTCAAAAGCATAGCGAGCGATACACTGCGTCTGGTATATTGTGTAGAAGATTAGGCGCCTCAAGTTGACTTGTGAATTTAGATTAGGTTAGTTAATCTGGTTTAGAGCTAATTCGAGAGAGGAGGTGATTCAAATCTCCTCTACATTTAAAATAAAGGTTATTCATTATTTATAAAGATTCTTTATTGGTTGGTCAAGCAACGTTTTGGTTTTGGACTTGTTTAGATCATCATGGTTCCTTAATGATTGAATACAGGGCTAAAAGTTATTTGTATCTTCATATGTAGCACCAGGCTTTGGTTGTACTGGAGCCTTTATAAACGTGTGTGGTTTTGGATGAAGTGTAGGAGATACTAATGGTGTCCGGATGCCAGGGGTCTGGGTGATCACTCCTTCTGGACATCTGATTTGATTTTAGATGCTGTAATTGATTAGGTTGACCGGGAGCCGAACCCTCGCAATTAGTGCAAATACTAATTAGCTTGGGTCAGTGACTGAATGACTGAGCATCTTTGTAATTGAACTTATCCAGGAGATTGTATTGAGTGTTTGTGCTCCTGGAAATGCAGCAATCCTCCAATTTAGATTTGCAACAAATTTGCATACAGAGTCAAACCTTTTAGTTTTTCCCCAAATCTAAAGATGAAACTCATTTAATTTAGTTTGTGTGTACAGAATACAGTATTTATTCTTCTGTCATTCACAGTTATAGTATACTGTAAGAAGACCTCGAGCTCTTACTATCAGCGCAAGTGATTGAATGACTTGGCATTATTGCTAAGCAATTGAAACTGTGTAGAGAATATTGTATGTTTAGTCCACAAAATGCTGCTGTTTCCCAACAGGCCTAGATTGAATTTTTGTTCAGATTAAAATTTGTTTTTGCGTCATTGTCAAAATCAGAATTGAGCTTTTGTTCACTGTCTGTTTGAGTGATCTATCTATCTATCTATCTATCTATCTATCTATCTATCTATCTATCTATCTATCTATCTATCTATCTATCTATCTATCTATCTATCTATCTATCTATCTATCTATCTATCTATCTATCCGTCCATCGTTCCATTGTTTCTTCTATCTGTCTGTCCATCCACATTATATAATGTATTCTAAATATTAAGGCGTTTGTAGAATAATAGAGTTGATTAGTTATTTTAATTGCTCTCCATCGCCTAGAAATTAAGTAAAAGCTTGACTGCACACACCAGCTGAACTTATGTAAAATAAAAAACCTCATTGTGTTCATGGCATTTTTGCTGCAGAACTGTTTGGCATGTGAGCAGCTAATTCTTGTTCTCTGAATCACTGAATAGAGATCTTTGTTGCCATTTTCTTGCCTCTCGTACAAACTAGCTTTGAAGTTAACTTTGGATTTTAATAGGGTGTACTGAGACATGTTCGTAGCTCTGTCCTTTTGAAGAGCACCATCCATCCAAAATTGTTTCCACACCAATTTTTGGTTCTTCATTGGCATTGATGGTCCCATGAAGAACCTTTAAGATCCATGGAACCTCAATTGTACAAAAGGTCCTTTCTAGTGGAAAAAGGTTCTTTAGATTATTATAAAGATCTTCACATTAGAAAAAAAAACATGGTTCTTTTAAGAACTGTTGACTGAAAGGTTCTTTGGGACACCAAGAAATGGTTCTTCTACACTCTAAAAATGCAGGGTTGTTTTAACCCAACTTTGGGTCAAATATGGACAAACCCAGCCATTGGGTTAAATTTTTTAATTATATTTTTAACCCAACATTTGGGTTTGTCCATATTTGACCCAAAGTTCGGTTAAAACAACCCAGCATTTTTAGAGTGCATAGCATCGCTGCAAAAACCAACTTTAAAAAAAAAAAAGTGTACGAACCTCGAAATGTCTATTACAAAATTAGTGGCGGTGATGTAATTGTTGCCATTAAAATTTTGACAAATCTGCACCAAAGCTCATTAGTTTTGGCTCTTTGATTAAGTCCCTTGTCAACTCAATACCCCTCAAACTGATATTCCCTCAAAGCGAGTTTATAGGAAAACAAATTGCTTCTTTGGTTGAGGAAATGAGGAGGCAAAAAAAGTGTTGAATGACTTTAAGAAGGAGAAAAAAAAGTGGGTGAAGTGTAAACATCCTTCTAAAAAAAAAAAAAAAAAACCCAGAGATTTCTGAGACCTCCTCATTGAAGTTCACCATGTACGAGGCATCTAACGCACAATGGCATTACGGTCCCGCTTCAATTCGGCATGGCAGACAGGCGATTAACTGCAGTTTAATCTGCGCGAGGCCTTATTCTCCTCAACATTCTGATCTACGACACTATTTTTAGCCCCACAAAACAACCCCGCTTCCCCTACCCCCTAAAAACACTGCAGGCGTCTGTGAGGAATCCAGCGTTTAAGATAAGAGCACAGGCTCTGCGTGAGGACGCTAAGTTTATCAGCATGACATGCATGTGATTCATGCTAATTCTCCCTTGTCTTTACTGTATTTGTTTCCAGTTTGAGATGGTTCAGCGCGTGGCGCTTCACGAGGTCCTCGGGCACTTGATCGTACATGGATTCTCTGTTTAATGTGACTTCTGACTGTTAAAACTATTACGACTTGGACTTTTAGTTGAAAGCACTCAGTCTTGTGTCGTTACAAACCTGTATGATTCAATATTAGAGATGTTTTAAATGTATTTGTTTCATATTGCCTATATAATGGTCAATATTTGATATTGTAATTTCCTCCTAGTTTTACATTTAAAACATCAATCATTTTACATGTAAATCATTTTTCATCGAGCGCTGACTTAATTTGTCATAGTATTAAAATAACTGTATTTATATTATGGTTTATATTAGGGCCGTCAACCGATTAATCGCGATTAATCGCAACCAAAATAAAAGTTTGTGTTTACATATACATATATGTGGGTGCACGGTATATATATATATATATATATATATATATACACACACACACATACACATATACACACATGCATGTATATTTCAGAAAAAAAAATATTATAATAAATATTTATATTTATATATAATATAAATTAATATAAATATATGTAAATATAATGAATATAATATATATGAATATAAAAATAAATATAATATAAATATATGAATCTATATACAGAATATACATTAAATATATTTCTTAGCATGTGTGTGTATTTATAAATATAAAATAATTATACACAGTGCACCCACATATATTTTGTAAACACAAACTTTTATTTTGGATGCGATTAATCGCGATTAATCGTTTGACAGCCATGTTTATATAGATGTAGATTTAGATAATTTAATATATTTTTAGAGAAAATAATGTTGAATTTAATATCAGCTGTTTATCGATTATCGGCCATGACAAAAAGTATAATTGACTTCATGATCAGTATCAATTTTTAAATAATTTTCTGCATATGGAAAAGAGCTTCATGGACATTCTTCAAAAATTCTCCTTTTGTGTTTTTCAAAAAAAAAAATAACAGTATACATAACTCATTTTTTAAGTAAAGAAAAAAACTGCTTATTGACAGATTGATAGTGTCATAATGGCTTAATGTCTATCGTATGAGGTAAACAAATTTGATCTTCTGACGAAACTTGCTGTCACAGTGCGTTTAGTGCTGAATCTGGTACAATGTTCCACCCCACTATAGCACTTCCTCCAGCTAAATTTGTCAACTTACATGAGTATATTGTTCCTGTCTGGTACATTTATAGGTAATGCTATGAATTTTCTTTTTGACAGATGAGATTTTTCACACCGTTTTTCCTCTTGTTGGTCCATTGGTATCTATTTTTGACATTTTTTATCTATTTTTTTTTTTCTTCTTTTTTCCCCTGAAGATTGTTGGAGCATGTTTTATATATTATTGGAATAAGAAAATACATTTTCAGTCATTGTACTTGCCTCTATTTGTTAAATTTACTACCAATTTCGAAATGAAAGTCGTTTAAAAGTAAATTACTCAAATTTTTCTTGTGTGGTGTAATTTTAAGCCTGTTAGCCTTGGATCCAATTCTTTTTGTACAACTAAAGATTGCGTGATGCCAGCTTACACAAATATATTCTAGGAATGTTTTGCTAAGGTTAAGGGAATATGCCATTTTTAAAATTTAGGAAAAAATTATGAAAATTTTACTTTTGAATGTTATCTGACCATTATTAACATTTGAAAAAGTTAGAGAACAAGGTCCAACTAAAACATTTCAGAAAAAAATAAACGTTCCATGAACAATGTATAAATAATATTTAGTGCTGTCAAATCGATTAATCGCGATTAATTGTATCTAATATAAAAGTTTGTATATGTATATATTAGGGCTGTCAAATGATTAATCGTGATTAATCGCATCCAAAATAAAACTTTGTGTTTACATAATATATGTGGGTGCACTGTGTATAATTCTTTTATATACATACATATATATATATATATATATATATATATAAACACACATGCTTGTATATATTTAAGAAATATTTTTATGTATATCTGTATACATTTTTATTGTATATAAATATAAATATTTTATATATAAATAATAATTATACACATTGCACCCAGATATATTATGTAAACACAAACTTTTATTTTGGATGCAATTAATCGCGATTAATCGCTTGACAGCCCCAGCGTATATATATATATATATATATATATATATATATATACATACATACATACATTTATATTAGATGTGATTAATCGTGATTAAT